AATACGCATAGCCAAAGACACACCATTTCAAAAATTTCTACATGCACAGTTCAGTGACATTGACTATGCCCTTCCAATTGTGCTGTTATTCTCACTTAAGATGAAGGCTTACAGAACAAAATAGTTTCTCATTTAACAGTTACTACAAATGTTGCCCTATGACAATGGTTAACAATCTCACAACACATCAACAATATCCTTACTCAACCTTGGGTCCCCTATCACCAGCTTCCTTGTCCCCTTCTGCCTTCTGGCCCTTGTCACTGGACTCCTGTACCTCGTTAGCCTCATTTGGTTTTACAGGGCTGTCCACTCCCAGGCTGAACGGTGAACCTCGGAGGTAACTTCACCACTGAGCTAAAAGGGGTGTCTGAGGGCCATACTCTCGGGGTTTCGCCAGTCTCCTTTAGGCCAGTAAATCTGGTCTTTTTTTGTGTGTGAGTTAAAGTTATGCTCTACATCCTTCTCCAGCTCTGTCCAGAACCCTCTGTTGTGATCCTGGTCAGAGCAGTCAGTGGTGGTAGCCGGGCACCATCTAGCTGTACTGGACTCAGTCCGGTGGAGGCTTTGGTAGCTGTGGACAATTAGTCCTTCCGACTAATCTTTTCCTTGTATCCTGTTCTCTTCATTCTCCCTTGCTCCCGAAGGGATGAGACCAGTGGAGTATCTTAGATGGCCGCTAGCAGGCTTTTAAGACCCCAGACACTACTCACCAAGGTAGAATGTAGAGCATTGTCTTTATAAGCTGTGTCATGCCAATTGAGCTAGATGTTCCCCGAGACCATGGTCCCCACAGCCCTCCGCCCAGCAATTCAGTCCCTCAGGGAGTTTGGATGTGTCTATGGGGCTTCCATGACCTTTCCTTGTCCAAGTTGTGCTAGTTTCCCCTGTATTGTGTACTGTCTCACCCTTCACCCAAGATACCACTTATCTATTGCCTATTTAGTATTTTCCCCCCACCCCTCCCATCCCTGGTAACCAACAAAGATTGTTACATTTTGTTGATATAGCGTTTCTTAATTACATCTGCAAAGACCTTTTTTCCAAACAAGGTCACATTCACAGGTTCTGGGAGTTAGGGCTTTTTTTTTTTTTTTTTTTTTTTGGTGGGGGGTACACTATTGAACTCACTATAGAGCTATACCAAGTACTCTGATGAAATAGGTAAAAATTCCAGAGCTCTCAGATATGAAACCCTAAATGCATCAAATACCCATTAAAAACCAAACCCATTGCCATCAAGTCAATTCTGACTCATAGCGACTCTACAGGAAAGAGTAGAACCATCCCATAGGGTTTCCAAGGAGTGACTGGTGGATTCAAACTGCCAACCTTTTGGTTTGCAGCCGAGCTCTTAACCACTACACCACCAGGGTGCCTAATATATACCAGAAAACCAGATACTGTTACTAGATGAGATGCAGTGATTCACCAGAGCCACATGCAAGGCTAAAACCGTGCGCATTTGCCCAGAAGCATAAAGAAAGCTGATGAAGCCAGGAAGAGTGTTTTTGTGAATACCATGAGATAGTATCTTAGTTTCCTAGTGCTGTTGTAATAGAAATACCACAAGAAATTCATTTTCTCTCAGTTTAGGAGCTAGAAGTTTGAATTCAGGGCACCAACTCCAGGAGAAGGCTCTTTCTCTGTAGCTCTGGGGGAAGATCTTTGTCTCAGCTTCTGTAACCCAGGCTTTCCCTCAGTTCCTTGGTGATGTCATGTCACATCTATCCTTCCCCCATTTGTGTTCATTTGTATCTCTCTGTGTCTAATCTGCTCTTTTTACATCATTAGGTTTAAAACACACTCTACATTGATGTGGCCTCATTAACGTAACAAAGAAACCCTGTTCCCATTTGGTATCCACAGGTATAGGGGTTAGGAGTCCAGCACATATTTTGGGAGGACACAATTCAATCCATAATAGTTTATAATAAAGAAACCACTATTTCTGGGAATGCTGTTAATTTCACTTTACTCTTCCATCCTCTACTTGCAAGATTCGGAACATTTGTACTCTCAACATCAGCTCTGGCCACACAGCGGAAGGAAAAGCTGAGACCCAGGAAGAGGTAGGACTGATGAACTGTGCTTCCACCCAGGAACCAGTCAGATTTGACCAAGTAGTCACTTCCCCAAGCTCAGTCACCCTATGCCAGTTAATTCTTAAAGAGGGAAAATAAGTCAGAAGCGAGGTAGAGAGTGTAGTTCAAAATGAAGCCTAGGGGAGCAGGAAAGATTTTCATCTTCTGAGCTGAAGCTTGCTTTTCAAAACACATGCTTTCTGTTTTCCTGAGTAAAATAGGGCAGCAAATTATATTCTTTTATACTAAAAGGTAAAGATAAAATTGCAAAGCCTTTCAAAAAGTGTGTGAACTTGGTCACTGGGATTTCTACTTTTTAAAAACTTTTTAAAGCTAACTTTCCAACAGGATGGCTCTTTTATATTTAGGACTTTTAATTCAGACATAGCTAATAAACTGACTTTTATTTTTTTTTAAACAATAGTGTACCAACCTTAAAAATCACTTGTTTCTCCTATTTTAGTGTAAACTGTGATCAAGCTTGCTAGAGGTAACATTCTACAGGAGAAGAGTGACATCTGCAGGAGCTCTGTGCAACTACAGGGTGAAATCCACAGACGTTCTCAAAAGTAATTTTTCTGTGCACTGACAACCTTTCACAGCACAAGTTGCTTAACTTCTTGGTGCTTCATCTGCAAAGAGATAATAATAACTGCACCTATATCATAGGGTTGGAATGAACTATAGCCTGTTACACACTTAGCAAATTTCCTGGATAGCATGATTATTGTTGCTTAGGTGATATGGTTTTATGCTTTTGCACTGCAGTTCTTTAAATTAAAAAAAAAAAAAAAAAAAAGCCAAAGGAAGAAAGGGGCTGGAGGCTATTTGGATTATTCAGATAATTCTCCTGTTTTTCATAGGAACCGTTCCAGACACATAAGAATCAATTTTGTTTTTAAAGACTTTGAAACGGAAATTCCACAACCTGCCACATCCATTCCACAGCTTTACAATCTTCAGCAAGGCTAGGCTCTGGCATACCTAGTTAGGTATGCAAATTTAGTTTGGGGAGCTCTTCTGTCTCCCCCTTAGAATAGACACCAATTCTCCTTTTAGAACACACACTCCTTCATCTGTTCAATAAACATTTGTTATGCACCTACTGTGTGCCAGGCACTGTGCCATTTAGCCTGCATACAACAGTGAACCAAATACATTCCCTGTCCTTCAAAAGTTTATGGTCTGCTGATCCTGCTAGACTTCTGGTGCTCCTACTTCCTTTTCACTCACTGTCTCCCACCTCCCTTTTCAGCTCATCATCTGTTCTCCCTTACGAACACTTTATGCTAAGAATTTTCCATGATCCTCCTCACTCCCAACAAAACTAAGTCCCGTGTTTTGTTTTCTCAGGGTTCTACTCTAAGTAAACCAAAACCAAATCATTTGCTGTCAAATCAAGTCGGTTCCAACACATCGCGACCCCATGTGTGAAGATCAGAACCGCTGCATAGGTGTTTCAAGGCTGTGACCTTTCAGAAGCAAATTACCAGGCCTGTCTTTTGAGGTGTTTCTGTATGGATTAGAACCACCAACCTTTCGGCTAGCAGTCGAGCACTTAACTGTTTATGCCACCCATTACTAATTGAATAATAATAATAAATAATATTTAACTGGAGCCCTGTTGGCACAGTGGTTAAGAGCTCAGCTGCTAACCAAAAGGTTGACAGTCTAATCCACCAGCTGCTCCTTGCAAAACCTATGGGGCAGTTCTACTCTGTCCTTTAGGGTTGCTATGAGTTGGAAAAGACTCGGTTTGGTTTTTTTGGTGAGTGATTATTTTATGATAAACAATGGCCTGGACTTCACAAATATGAATGCAAAACTGATGTTTTGCCCTGTTGCCATTATGAGTAAGCATCTGCATCACAATTTGCAGCCAGAAACAATGCTATAACTTTCCCTCTAAGGCACTGCTTTCACTGCACTTTAAGGTTTTGATATGTTCTATCTTTATTCTCATTCAGTTCTACAGATTTTCTCATTCTCACTGTGGTTTCTTTAATTCCAGACAATTGGGAATTTTTAGTTATCTTCTTGTTTATTTCTAGTTTAATTCTATTGTGGTCAGAGACTTCAAAAAGTCTGTTTTGAATGTGTTGAGACTTTATGTCCCAATATTTTGGCAAATGTTCTATGTGCATCAGGTTTCCTCTATTTCCAGCTACTTCTAAGGACTGATCTTAAGCTCAGGCATGGCCAATAAAGTCATTCCAATTCATGGCACCCACCACACGTGTGTTTCAGAGTAGAACTGCGCTCTACTTCAGGTCTCTGGGTGGCACAAGCAGTTGGGGATTAGCTTCTAACCCAAATATGTTGGCAGTTTAAACCCACCCAGCAGTATCACATAAGAAAGGTCTGGTGATCTGCTTCTACAAAGATTGCAACCAAGAAAACCCTATACAGCAGTTCTACACATGGGGTCACCGTAACTTGGAATTAGGGCAACGGGTTTGGATTATTTTATCTTACGGAAACAGATCGCCATTTGGTGGATCCCAACCCAGTGAGAAACGGAGCACAAAGGACTTCACCACCCAAGGGCCTTAGCATAAACAACCTCAAATGTCCCTTCTGAAACCAAGTTTGTGTGATTCCAAGCATAAACTAACCGGTGACGAATCAGCTCTATCATTCTTCCTGTTAACTCTTTTCCCTTTGATTCTTCAAAATTTAACAACTATTCCCTCTAATTAAAAACGGGTGAGGGCACCCACTTTTTCAGCTCTGTGCTCTTCTGCTCTTCTCACTGGCGAGGGGTGACCACGCGCCACCACACTGCGGCGCTGGAGCCTTAGGCACTCGCGCCCCAGCTCCCTCGCGCCGCCCCAGCTCCGCCAGCCCTACACAGGGCCAACGGGGCGCGGCCCGCCGCGGCGTCCTGACGTCAGAGAGGGCTGCGACGCTGCCAACCCTCAGCGGCGCTGACGCGGGGCCGCTCAGTGCACGGAGCCGGGCCTGGACAGCTCCGGGGCGGTCGGACCTCGAACAGCGGCCGCGGGCTCCGGGGCGGGGGCTCCGGCGGCGAAGCCCCCTCCCCGGGGAGGCGGGGTCTGGGCGAGCTCCCCTTGCGAGGAGCGGCGGCGGCCGGGAACGATGCATCAGAAGCTGCTGAAGAGCGCGCATTACATCGAACTGGGCAGCTACCAGTACTGGCCCGTGCTGGTGCCCCGCGGCATCCGTCTCTACACCTACGAGCAGATCCCCGTGTCCCTCAAGGACAATCCGTACATCACCGACGGCTACCGGGCCTACCTTCCCTCCAGGCTGTGTATCAAGAGGTACAGTCTGCGGCCTCCGCGGGGCGCGCCGGCGGCCCCTCTTTCTCACCTACACCCTTTTTGTCTGATCTGCCTGATTCGTTCCCCGCTCTTTGCCGTGCCTGTCACTTCCTCGCTGGCCCATCCTTGTCGTGCCTTCCCATCGCCTCTCCCTTCTCATTGTCCACGCCGGCTATTTGATGCGCGTAGTAATAGTTATAGTAACAGTGATGATCATTACCAACTCTATGGCCTTTGCTGTTTTCACAGCGCTTTTACGTTCTTAATCCCATTTGGTACTTACTGGGATACATGTTGGAATGGACCCAGCTGACAATGGCTTAGCCATAACTTGCCTCTGTGTATTCCTAAGCTTGCTTTCTTTTTAGAGCAGCCCTGTGGGAATTCAGATACTTTGGGCCAGATAAAGGCCTATATAATTGGAAATAAGTCGATATATTATATATATATATATATGTATTTAGAAACCCCAGATTTATTCGTTCAAGAAATACTTGTTTCCCTGCCAGGTGCCAGGCACTGTACCAGGTCCTGCAGAGAACAGCAGACCTGGCTCTTGATATCAGGAAGCTACCACGTCTAGCCTGGATGACAGACATTAAAGAGATAATTATACTTTTATATAATCACCATTGTGATAAATGTGATAGATGCTGTGTAGGAAAAGCCGTGTAGTAAATAGAACTTATAACGGAGCACTTAACCTGGTCTACAGCACCACAGAAGCATTTATGAAAAGAACTTTTATATTCATTAGAAATCTTTAAATCCAAGAATCCCTGGACGGCTTTTGTTTAAAACAATTGAAAAATCAGTGTTCTAGTTCTGTCAAAACTCACTGTATATACTTAAATAAAGCACCTGACTTAGAATTAAAATGCAGATATTGGTTAGCTTCAGGTCACTGTAGTGGCAAACCCCAGTGCTGGAATGTGGGTTGTTGAATTGCTCAGGCCGCAACCACGTGTTTAGTTCTTGATCTTTTGAGCATAGTCTTTCCTCAGTTCCTTTCTCCCTGCCTTGAAAGTGTTTCAGTGACTTGCCGTCACAAGGTGACTTCGCTCGGTTGGTACTTGAGTGAATGACCCACAGGACTTCATAATTTGAATCCCAATTACTGATTTACACCAAATGCCTCCTGGGCGTGAGTAATTACACAGGAAATCAGAGCTGGGCCCTGCTGTGTATCTGGAGATCCACAAGGATACAACAGGCAGTGAATTGCCTTAAATATTTTATGCCCATGTAGCAGTGGTCCTCTGATGATAGGGCCCAAATTTCATGGAGTGGGAAATAGAGTGCTTTAGAGTTTGGACTGTTGAGTCAAAAAGACTTGGGTATCCAGAACTGCAACTTAATAGCTGTGAGACCTTGAGGAAAAGTTAACCTCTCAGTTTACTTTCCCCGTTTGTAAAATGAAGGCAATCACAATCTCTGCTTCAGAGAGTAATAAGGGTTAAATGAAAGTATGTATGCAAAATGCTATACAAGACCTGGTGCCTAATAAATGTGATAAAATGTAGTTATCATCATCATTGATTTTAAAGCTAAACAAATGACAATGAGAAAGATAATTACTGATTTTAAAGCTGGACAGAAAGTGTATGTTTGTTTATTTTCCAGTTTGTTTATTTTATCTAATGAGACGGTAAACATCTGGAGTCATTTGCTGGGTTTCTTTCTCTTCTTCACACTGGGAATATATGACATGACATCCGTGTTACCTTCAGCAAGTGCATCCAGAGAAGATTTTGTAATTTGCTCTATTTGTCTTTTCTGCTTCCAGGTAAGTCGTTTCACAGACACTATTATTGGCCAAAAAAACTTCAGTCAGGCAAATTGGGCAAGTGACCTCACTTCAGGCCCACCTTTTGCTTTAAAGAGCTTCCAAAATAGCATGTAGGTCAGTTTATTTCCTTTCATAGTCCAAGCACAAAGCATGATATTGTAAGAGTATATCTGTAGGTTGTTAAGACAATATATTTGAAATCTAATAAGTTTCAAAGATGGAAAAATTGTCTTTCCTTTTCTCTTTACCTTTATTGATATCTTTGCTTTAAAATTAATACAAGGATATATCTCTCTGATTATACTCTATTTGACTGAAGTAGAACACTATTGTCTACTTAAAACTTGCTTGGGAAGCTTGCTTGGGAAGATTTCTCATCTTTTTCCTTTATATAATATGCCTGATTTTTGTGTTTGTTTTTGTACGAGAAACCCTGGTGGCACAGTGGTTAAGCACTCGGCTGCTTACTGAAAGGTCAGTGGTTCGAACCCACCAGCCTGTTCCGTGGGAGGAAGATGTGGCAGTCTGCTTCCAAAAAGATTTACAGCCTTCGACATCCTATGGGGCAGTTCTACTCTGTCCTATAGGGTCACTATGAGTTGGAATCGACTCAACGGCAATGGGTTTTTGTTTCTGTACCATCTTTTTTAATGTCTTGTTTTACTGGTATTGATCTTTTGGTCTGTTCTTTTAATGGTAATTTCACTCTTCCTTTGATCTTTTTCCACTCTGCTGCTTTCAAAAACTTTCACTTTCTCCTTCCCTCTACCTCCTGTATGTTAGTTCCTCAGTATTTTCATTACTAACCGGTTGCCATCGAGTCGATTTCGACTCATAGCGACCCTATAGGGCAGAGTACAGCTGCCCCATAGGGTTTCCAAGGAGCGGCGGGTGGATACAAACTGCTAACATTTTGATTAGTAGCCGAGCTCTTAACCACTGTGCCACCAGGGCTCCGCATTCATTACTAAGTACCTTTAAAATGTAATCTGTAGAAGTGTCTTTAAGAATGACATTAAATAGATATCCAAATAGATAATTTTAAAGAAGAAAGCAAATGCGGGCTATAATCTTGTTGACATTTTAAGAATTAAAATGTTTTAATAGAATTTAAAAATTCAGAGAGTACAGAAAAACATAAAAATGAAAAGAAAAAGCCATTTTCCCCCTTTCTCCGAACACAGACCAGCAGTCCCTGCAGTTAGCCATTGCTGCTCAGTTGAGGGGAGGGGGCTAAGCCCATAAATCAACTGCACAGGTGTTGTTTTTATTAGGTATCATTTTATTTCAGACCTTACTTCATAGCTTTACTTACGTTACTCAAGTTAAAATTTTGGACTCAGATGACCAAGAAACACATCAAAAACATTTTCCTTCCCCTTTGTTTTAAATCCAGTTTCTGGCATAATATTTTCAATTTCTTTGAGGGAAATACTACTATCTGTTTGTTTCCTCAGGTTTAATTTTTATTCTGATAAGAGCCAAAACATCTCTTCGTGTCCATCTCCAGTTTTATAAGGGAAATGAATCAATTTCTTTATGGTTAAATTTTTAAATTCTGAGCATAGACTAAATTGCTTTTAATAATAATCATTCATAAATGCAAAAACTAGTTTATACCATTAGTTATGTGTGTACTACCCACTTTGAGAAGCCCATGTTTTCCTCTCTTTTTATGCCTTTATCCCTTAACTACCCAGCCACAGCTGATGTTAGTTCAGGGAATACATCTTCATTCCATACTGGCCTAAGGAAACACTGCGTTGAGAAACTAAAAATAGTGAATAATTATAACTTCTAATGAAGAAACAAACCCAGCGTGTTACAGTGAATTGCCTAGGATTATTCAGCAGGACAGTAAAACACTGTTCTCTAACTCCTGATGTAGTAATCTTTGTGTTACATGCTGTACAACTTGATAAAGACAAATGAGCACATCTTCTCTACTTAAAAAGACCATTTCTTTTTATTTTTATGATATTTATAACGTGTTCACTGATTTTTTTCAAAATCTTAAGGTCAGCGGGCAGCAGAGTAAATCTTAAGTATATTTTATCAATATTGATAAATATTTAATTTTTAATTTAAAAATTTTTAAAAACAACATTTTTTTTTCTCACTCCTGCCTATTTTATATGTAGGTAGTCTCCAACTTGACATATTCGAGTTATAACGAACCGTTTTTGTTTGTTTTGTACAGCTTATCGTTAGTAATACGTTGCAGAGTATAATTTGCTGATGTTATCATTCTCAGATGTTCTCTTGAAAAATGTTCAGTTTTGTGATTTACTGTTCAAAACACTGCCAGATTTATAAAGATACTGATAATAAAGGCAATAATAATGAAAACTAAAAAAAAAATGAGGTATTCATCTTACGTCAGAAACGACTTACAACAGAGTTGTCGGAACAGAACACCATCATAAGTTAGGGACAACCTGTACTCAGTGCTTTCCTGCTAACAGGATTAATAGAGTACCGTTTGGATAGTAGACTGTAAATTTAGGGCCATTGGACCTTGCCAGAGGTACTTGTATGAGATAAGAGCAAGATGTAAGAGGCTGCAAGAGGAAAAGTAGACAGAGAATACCTTTCCCTAGATTCAGTTCGTTACATTCAGTTCATCAGATGTTTTTTGAATGCCTCCTGTATATACCCAGGCACTGTGCTAGGCACCTGGGCTACGGTGCTGAACAAAACCAGTGTGTCATAAAGACCAAGTCACCCAGATAGGAAGGAGTGAGGCAGGGCATGTAAGCAGACAAAAATAGTTTGTATAATGACTCAGAAGGAAGAGACTGCTTAGCACTTTTTGGGATTGCAGGTTTTCGTCTCTATGGTTGGATCCTAGGAGAGTGGAAAAAGATAAGGCTGGAGAGATAGGCAAGGGCCAGATCGCAAACTGTTTTGTTGTAATGCTAAGGAGCTTGAATGTCGAATGTGAATAATACTGTAATTGTCTGTTTCCCTTGATGGAGTAAGATATTCCACATAAGTAAACTTCCCAGATAACTGAAACATGCTCCTTTCACTAGAGTTTTTTTCCGTGATTTTTTAAGGAACTCTTTCTACCAACATATCCCCTTTTAAACAGGGCATGCTTATTATAGGTTAACTTTTTTAAAACCCAGGTTTTTTTATTCAAACTATTGCCTTTACTTTCCCTTTAATACCATAGTTTTTCTCATATTATTTTCCTTTTCGTGATGAAATTAGTTTTATTGTTGTTTCTTATTACCATAAGACATACTCATGTAGAAATTCAAGAAAGAAAAAAGTATAGAAAAAATAAGCATCACTTGACATTTCATTTTCCAGAGGTAACTGCTTTTGATGTTTGAGTTAGAATTCTTCCAGACCTTTGTGTGTACATGGCTGCTTGCCTGCCTGCCTACCTGGTTTACTTAACCTGTCTACCAACTTCCAAGATATGATCATCTCTCCTCGCTGTTTTGTGAACTGCTCTTGTGTCATTCAGCATGATGTCGATGCCATCTTTCCCTGTCAAATGAGAATATACATATTTGATATTCTCCTGATTTATTGTATTGAATCTCAAGAATAATCTGAGAAAAGAGATAACTAAAATTCTTAGAGTTAAGTTTAATTTAGCCATAGACGAGTAAGGATTTTAGGCAGTAGATGAAGAAATGAAGTTGTGGTTAAATATATTGTTATTGAGTATTTCTATCGACACTATGGGGGCAAGTTAGGTTTGTGTAATGACCAGACTATAGAATAGTTAGAGGACCATTTTACAGTCAAAAAATCAAATGGCATACTGCATTGGGCAAATCTGCTGCAAAAGACCTCTGTAAAGTGTGAAAAAGCAAAGATGTCATTTTGAGGACTAAGGTACACCTGACCCAAGCCATGGTATTTTCAGTCGCCTCATATGCATGCGAAAGCTGGACGGTGAATAACAAAGTCCGAAGAAGAATTGATGCCTTTGAATTATGGTGTTGGCAAAGAATATTGAATATACCCTGGACTGCCAGAAGAACAAACAAATCTGTCTTGGAAGAAGTACAGCCAGAATGCTCCTTAGAAGAAGGATGGCAAGACTTCGTCTCACTCTGGACATGTTATCAGGAGGGACCATCCGTGGAGAATGACATCATGCTGGCAAAAGTAGAAGTTCAGCGAAAAAGAGGAAGACCTTCAACAAGATGGACTGACACAGTGGCTGCAACAGTGGGCTCAGACATGGGAACAATCGATTGTGAGGATGGCACAGGACCAGGCAGTGTTTTGTTCTGTTGTACATAGGGTTGCTATGAGTCAGAACCGACTCGACAGCATCTAACAACTTAGAATAGTTAGATGAACATTTCACTACCGAGCTGTTGTTTACAAAATGTTTATCAGTTTGACCTACTTTATATCATTTACCTGTCCCATCTTTTCCACCCCCACTGCCAGTGGCTTAAATTGGCCCTTGTCATTGCTCCCCAAAGCTACTCACATAACCTTTTATCTCCATTCTCAGCCATTCTAGTCCATCCTCCAGCCTCTGTAAGGCTGCATTAGAATCTTCAGTAGTCACACACATCCATATTGAAGTTAAAACTTCTTGATTTATAGGACTTGTCATCATGTCATGAAGAAGGCCACATGACATTCTTTAATGGTTCTATATTTCTCAACATGCTCCCTTTTCTTGTAGACCCTTCCAGTAAATATGTGCACACCTTTCTTATGTCCTTGATGAATACAGCTCAGCCTTTTAAGATCCACCTCAGGTGACAGCCCTTCTATGGAGTTTCTTTTCACCCACCACTCCACCCCACAAATGCACACATACACCCTCAGAGCTGAGACCCTTCCTCCTTTGTTTTCTGATTGCTGTCTGCACTAGATTTCCTATAAGACTTCTTAAATCATATGTGTTCTTTTTTTTCTGAAAAATCGCTGAGATTAGAAGTTTCATTTATCATCTTTGCATCCTTAGTGCATCACACACAGTAAGTACTTGATGGATGGAGGGAGTTCAGCTATAGAAGCCTTATTAATCGTTGAGTAGCTGATAGGGATCAGTTTTGCTCCCAAATCGGTAATCATATAAAGTCAACATAAGTCATGAGTTTTTGTTTTTGTTTTTTTGGGGGGGAGAACAACAAACCCATGTTAAACTTAGAACTTAGAAGTAAACTCTATACAATGAAATCTTATACAGACATGAAAAGTCTTAAGTGAAAAGGGCAAATTGTGGAACAGAATGTATAGTATGATTCCATTTGTATAATAAAAAATGTATGTATATATTTTGTGTGTGTGTGTAAAGACATATAGGTATTTTTGTATGTATGGAAAATATCTGGAAGGACACATAACTAATGTTATCAGCGGCTACGTGTAGGGGAATAGATTGGGTGGATAGGGCTTATATTTCTTACATCATACAAATCTTTTTTTTTTTAATTTTTTTGACATGTATTACTTTTATAATAAACACATTTTAAAAAGTAAATTACTCCTTCACAGATCAAAATAAGCTTCAATTGATACTTTAAAAAAAAATTGTATAATTTTCCCACTACTTTGCTGTTCATTTAAAATTTTTCCGTTTTACTTTGGTGAGTGGCAAAGCAGCCATCTAAGATGCATCAGTTGGTCCCAGTTCACCCAGTTGGAGTAAAGGAGAATTAAGAACACCAGAGTCACAAGGAAAATATTAGCCCAAGAGACAGAAGGGCCACATAAACCAGAGACTCCATCAGCCTGAGACCAGAAGAACTGGATGGTGCCTGGCTACCACCAATGACTGTCCTGACAGGGAATACAACAGAGAGTCCCTGATAGAGCAGGAGAAGGGTGGGGTGCACAACTCAAATTCTAGTAAAAAGACCAGACTTCATGGTCTGACTGAGACTGGAGGAACCCCAGAAAGCATGGCTCCCAGACTCTCTGTCAACCCAGAACTGAAGCAGTTCCCGAGGCCAACTTTTCAAAAAAAGATTGGAATGGACTGTGGGACATAAAAATGATACTCATGAAGAGTGTGCTTCTTAGCTGAAGCAGATACATGAGACAAAATGGGCAGCTTCTGTCCAGAGGTGAGATGAGAAGGCAGGGAGGGTTAGGAGCTGGTTGAATGGACACGGGAAATCAGGTGGAAAGGAGGAGTGTGCTGTCACAGTATAGGGAGAGCAATTAGGGTCACATAACAATGTATGTATAAATTTTTGTATGAGAGACTAACTTGAATTATAAACTTTCAGTTAACTACAACAATAAAAAAATTTTCCATCTTAAAATTAGATGTCATTCTTGAATTTCTCTATGATTCTTATCCCCATTTTACCCATGAGGAAACTAAGGTTTAGAAAAATGGTATAGCTTGCCCAGCTAGTAAGGGACAGAGCTAGAATCCAAGCCCTAGTCTGTTTGACTAGAGAGCCTGTGCTCTTAACCACTTGACTGAACATTATGCACAAGTTGCTTTAATTTCTCTGTTTCATTTTGCTAAGATTTGTTTTATTTTCCATAGGTCTGTATGCTTTGCTCTGTGGGCTATCATCTTTTTTCCTGTCATCGGTCAGAAAAAACCTGTCGGAGATGGATGGCATTAGATTATGCAGGAATTTCTATCGGAATACTGGGCTGCTATGTCTCGGGAGTATTTTATGCATTTTATTGTAATAATGTAAGCAGCTTAAAGCTTTTTACATTCTACCTTTCTTGTAGATCTTGAGTTTTTTGCCATGGTTCTTTGTAAGTATGTATACTTTGTAAGTAAGTATATAATTAACTTATAGAAGAAACAGAAGAGTCTTGTTTAGGCATAGCCTCGCTTGTTTTTTGAAAGGGCCCTGTGATCTCTACCATCTCTTATCAATTTCATATTGATTTTACTAATTTTCCATTGAGAAAAAATAATATATAAAGTCGGTCTCTGAAAACTTAATGTAGACATTGAATTATTAAGGTTCCCACTTCTATCTGGTTTCTCATATCTGTTATTTTTGTGTTTATAGAATTGAAGTTAAACAAAGTTAGCACTTGATTAAATTACGAAGCTGGCTGCTGCTTTCTGTTTTCGCTTCGTATCCTTTATGCTGCTCTCTGAAAAAAAAGTGTATCTGTGAGTGTATTGTCCCATATTTTTCTACAGGAAACATTTTCCTTTCCACAATCTTATGCTCTAGGGGTAGGCCTAGAGACAGTCCACATGGGTGGTGAGTGTCTTTAATGAGTATCAGATGTCTCTGAGTTCTAGATCAGCTATGTTTTCTGGCCATGTTGAGCCCTAAGTTTACAAAAGTCAGTTTTTGCCTTGTGAAAAGCAGCACTTGAAACACTGTGATCAGATAATATAGCACCTGACCTAAAAATGTTATGCAGCCAAACTTTATAGAGCCCCCACCCTATCACCTCATCATCCCAGGCAAGAGGACAAACTTAATCTTCCCATGGGCCAAGTCCATCTTAAGCTCTCCCATTCAGAAGGTCCCTTTCGATCTTACTCTCTTTTCTTCCTGCTCTCCTACCATACTCTTACTTTTTGTTCTTTTAGTTCCCTCCATTTCAAAGCCAAGATGGATCTACTGTGACACATTATGTAAGAGTGGCACTTCTCCCTCAGGAGTAGCATACTTACTAGTTAGTTCTGGTCCAAGTCACAAGGACTAGAGCCTGTCCTGCCCAGGTCCACCTCATCCCCACCCACCATGTAGCAGGTGATCCAAGCCACAGTCCCCAACATTTGCCTAAAGGGAGGATTGGCTGCAGTACTTGGGAATTCTTAAACAGGACATTTGTCTCTACACAGTAATGGAGAAAACTGTCAACATACCTGGTGTGTAAAACTAACAAAGAGAAAACATAAATTTCATTTGAATAGGTAAAAGCTTTGCATGTTAATTATAGCCACATACATGTCAGTTGTTTGCTTTTTTAGACCTAATTACTTTGGAGCAGAAGCATGTAATTGTATATGCAGTTAACCTTGTTTATTGATTTTAGTAGTGAACTATTCATGTCTACTCATCTTTCATAATTTGTTCATTTTCATGTAATCTGTTCACATTTTTTAAAAAAATTAAAGGAAATAACTAGGAGCTAGTGAATGCAGTCATGTAATATTTGAATTGTTTTGTTTCTTATTATTTCTCTGAAGCCTATTTTCTGTTACCTCTTCCTAAACATCAAATCTGATCATCAGAGAGACCAGTGGGACACTTGTAATTCTCTAATCAGAAAAACTGTCCCCAGGATAGTTTAAAAAGAAAAAAGAACGAAGAGCTGATGTAATCCATGATCATATAATGGAAAAATTGTTGTTTTCCCTCTGGTATCTAACTAATTCCCAAATTTACATTCATCTCAATTGCTATAGTGGCTCTTTACCGTTTAAGGACCACAGGCTGTTTTTAGAATCAGATTGAAAATGATGGACCCTCCATCCAGGAAAATGCACATTTAGGCACACATCTAAACAATTTGGCAGGTGATTTCAGGGAGTTAAAAGCCCCCAGAAGTCCTTAGAGTTCAGGGCGAGAACTCTTGTCCTACATGATACTAACTTTTCAGCTTCAAGACCAGCTTTTCAACTGCTCATTTAGTCACATAAATATCCCATAAGACCCCAAGCTTAGTATATTTTAAAATGAACATTTTACTTCACCAAAGACACAAGGAAGCTATTAGCCCAAGAGACAGAAAGGGCCACATAAACTAGAGACTTCATCAGCCTGAGACCAGAAGAACTAGATGTTGCCCGGCTACCACCAGTGACTGCCTGATGGGGAACACAACAGAGAGTCCTTGACAGAGCAGGAGAAAAGTGGGCTGCAGAACTCAAATTCTAGTAAAAAGACCAGACTTAATGGTTTGATTCAGACCAGAGGGACCCTGGAAGACAGGGCCCCCAAACTGTTAGCCCAAAACTAGAACCATTCCCAAGGCCAACTCTTCAGACAAAGATTAGACTGGACTATGGAACATAAAATGATACTTGTGAAGAGTGTGCTTCTTAGCTCAAGTAGATACATGAGACTAAGTGGGCAGCTCCTGTCTGGAGGTGAGGTGAGAAGGCAGAGAGGGTCAGGAGCTGGTTAAGTGGACACGGCAAATCCGGGGTGGAAGGAGGAGTGTGCTGTCACAGTATAGGGAGAGCAACTAGGGTCACAGAACAATGTATGTATAAATTTTTGTATGAGAGACTAACTTGAATTGTAAACTTTCACTTAAAGCACAACAATAATGATTTAAAAAACAAAGAAAAATGAACCTTCTTTCATTCCCTCTGACCCCCACCCCCCGTCGCAACATGCACTCACACACCAAATCCGGATCATCTTTGTTCGTTCACTCCATCAGTAGAACCCATTTACCTGGCCTTTCAGACTAGAAACCACCAAGCCATCCTCCACTGTTCTCTCATTCATCCAGTCAGCCCTTAATACTTTAGATTATTTCAAAAAAAAAAAAATCTCCTGAATACGGTGCTCATATCTATCTTCTTTGCTCAACAAGAGTTCAAAGCTCCATTCTGTTTGGATAAACTATTCTAATAACTTCTAGCCGGCTTCTTGTTATCTCTTTCTTTTCCACACTGATTTCAGAGTTATTTCTCTAATAAGTCACCTTGAAAAAGGACTGTGTCGGGAGCCCTAGAGGCACAGTGGTTAAGCGCTCAGCTGCTAACTGAAAGGTTGGTGGTTGAAACCCACCCAGCCTCTCTGTAGGAGAAAGACCTGGTGATCCATTTCTGTAAGGATTACAGCCAAGAAAACCCTATGAAGCAGTTCTCTGTGTCACATGGGGCCGCTGAGTTGGAATCAACTTGATGGCAAACAACAAAAACAACATCCGCTTCTTAAAGAACTTATTTCCCCATTGCCAACATGGTGAAGTTTAAAATCCATAGCCTACCAGTCTGCCTGCCTTTCAACCTCCCTTCTCAAAACTTCCCAGCTGCATGTGCTATTCCTTTTCCTTGAGAGTTCCCTCTTCCCACAAAATCTTATATATTCCTCAGTGCCTGGCTCAGATGTCACCTCTTTTGTGAAGCATTTTTTAGCTACCCTCGTTGAAACTAAAAACTCAGTGCTGTCGAGTTGATTCGACTCATAGCGACCCTAAAGGACAGAGTAGAACTGCCCCATAAGGTTTCCAGGGGGCGCCTGGTGGATTCAAACTGCCAACTATGGTTAGCAGCCATAGTTCTTAACCACTATGCCACCAGGATTTCCTTAGCTACCCTAGGTAAAGTTAATTGCTCCCTCTTCTGTGTTTCTACAACCTTCTGTTCATAACTCAGTTACAGTACTTATCACTAGATCCCAGTCTATGAGCTTATCCACCGGGTGCAGGAGGGTCCATATCATAGTCATTTTTGCTTTTACAGGACTTACACTGTGCCTAGCACATAATAGCTACTCAAAAAAATGCTTTTGTGTCACTAAATGTGGTCTTTTACCAGCTCAGTATGGAATTTGGTTTACCATCCTAAGAAACCTAACATTTGTGTGTCACATGCATTTTTTAAGGAAGGAAAGTAATCGTGTTTAGAAATGAAAACATCAAGTAGATAGAGTTTAGAATGTGTAATGTAAAAACCAAAATTACCTTTTTCCTTCCCTTATTAAATAATAATTAAAATTCGTTTCCTTTTCATTCTAGTATTGGCGTCAAGTGTATTTGATCACAGTGCTTGCTATGATCCTGGCAGTGTTCTTTGCTCAGATTCATCCCAATTACCTTACACAGCAATGGCAGAGACTCCGTTCTATCATCTTTTGTTCTGTTTCGGGATATGGAGTGATCCCTACTCTTCACTGGGTTTGGCTCAATGGAGGAGTCGGTGCTCCTATTGTACAGGTAGGTTGAGTATACTCAATACTTTCCCCCTTTCTTTGTCCTTAAAACTTCATTCCTTTTGGATAAAGTAGTGTAATTAGGCCAAGTGGAGGTTTTTGTCATTTGACAGCATATTTTTAATTGTATATTAATGCCATAATTTTTATAAGCCATCCCTTGAAGAAATAGAAGTCTAACTGCTGTTTCTGTCTTTGTTTTTTTCCTGGATGTCTTCCTTTGAATTAGTACATTCTTAGTTCTTTTTCTGTTATTCTTAGTGTGTAAGTACATAAGTCCCTTACCTGTGGAAGAGGACTGCAGGGTTTCTAGTTCTGTCAGCTGGGTCAGTGATGATGTTGATAACACAAGTATAGAAGGAGAAGCAGTTGGCTTTTTTGGGTGGATGGGGTGTAACTCGGAAGGATTTTTTCTTGGATGTGTTGAGTTTGAGGTACCGATGGGATGTAAAGGTAGGGATAGGGTGTGGAATTTAGGTCGGAGTTTAAGACTAGTGATGAAGATTTGGAACTCATCACCGTATTGGTAGTTGGAGCTGTGGAAGCATGTTTGACCCACCAAGGAAAGTAAATTGAGAAGTAAAAGAAAAAATATTAGAGCCAGGTATTACGGGGGAACAGTTGGTGTGCATTAGAAAGAACTTCAGTGATTTCCTCAGTGTTGCCAAGAGTATTAGAAATAGTACTTATGTTCTCAGAGATCCGTACAAAAATGCTTTAAGTGTAGGTTACAAGGTAAACTTGAAAAATTTAACATACGTTAATAGCCAGAAAATCTGACAAAAGTCACATAGACTTGTTGAAGTGGGACCTTTGCTGGAATGTAGGAACTGAAAGACAGGTTTTATTCAAAAGAATCAAATCTTATTAGAAGAGGGGGGACTATTAGTCAGTAGGCTTACATATACTTGGGTGAAGTTGGCAACAGCAGAGTAGCAGCATGTGAGTATAAAACTAAAAAGAAAGCAAGTTCTGTGGTAGAGTGAACTGAGTGATATGATCTGACTACTTTGCCAAATCAAGGACAAGGGTGATGCTTTCTTCAGATTAGGAACTGGTAGGAGAAGGGATGAGAGTATAGTGATAAGGGACTTCAGTGATCATGATATCTGTGAAAAGATCATTTTTCTGGCAATTTTGATTCCCTAAACAGAAGCAAAGAAAACAGGTTTGGGAACCGCCACTCTAGATTTAATGAGATGAACACATCCCTTTTAAGCATATAATGGCAGAAAAGAGAACAAGACCCATTAGGCCAGTGGATTTTAAAGAAACTCAGAAAAATAATGGGAACATTCCCATGTTCAGGAATCTTAAAATAGAAATATGGCTTAGGATATAGACAGTGGTTCTCAAGGATGGAACTCGTCACAGATCATTCCAGTGAGGAAGCAAAGGGAGCTTTCCAGAGAAGTTTGCTGATAAGCTCTGATTTCAGAAAGATGAAAAGAGAAGCAGTTAACCAAAGATGAAAAGTTCCAGAAATGTTAATTCTAGGGATTTGGGTGGGGTTGTATTCTAGAACATTTTAGAAATCCGAGATTTATTAGTCTGAAGAATATAGGATAGGGTTGCTATGAGTTGGAATTGACTCAATGGCAGGCACCATTATAATTCTCAAGTGTTTGAAGAAGGAAGGGAATTTGTTTTTATTTCTTAAATGGGTTCTTGGTAAATTAAGTTTAGAACCAGAATTAGGAATAATATGTATCAGTTACAGCTGGCTGATTTTCTCAGAGTATAGAAAAGCTTTCCGTTAGAGCTTCAGCAGTGACGTGGACTACTTTGTGTAGTAATATTTAAGAGGATCATTTATCCAGGATGTTGAAGAGATTTCTGTATTGGGCAGAACTTCTTGAGTCTTTTCCAGCCCCAAGTCCCTGGTCTTCAGTGTCTTCGCTTATGCAACTGGGAACTCCTTTCCCACATGCCTCCCAACCGTGTTACCTACACTGTAAATGTTGGACCTTCACTGCATTAAAACTCTTACTCCATTAGGATACTCTCTATGCTCCATTTTTGTGGACTGCTTCCTGCAGTATTGAGAGCAAGGTTTCTGTTATTGAAGAATATCTGCAAAAGCAATTCACATTTAACAATTTTAAATTCCACCACTAGATTATATTAAATTGAGAATTCAGTGACAGTAGTAGGAAGATCTGTGAAAAAAAAAACATGTTTTGCTTTTCAGGACTTTGCACCTCGTGTAATTGTGATGTATATGATTGCTCTTCTTGCCTTTCTATTCTACATTTCCAAAGTTCCAGAAAGGTACTTTCCAGGTAGGTATCTCTTTTATAGTGGTTTTGTGGCTATCATTCTAAACATATGCTTGAGGTATATGATTCAGACCATCAAAACTGAGTTTTCATTGTTATTGATTATAGAATGGGTCTTCTAGTCCCAAACTTTAACTTTTAAAGAGCTTTCACAGAGTTTTCCTTTCATGCTGACGAAATGGGTTGAAACCAGTAGGTGGGGTTATCACCATTTCACAGATTATGAAGTAATAACAGAACTGAGGTTTAAACTCTGGAGTCTTCTGACTCCCAGTCACTTTTTTAAAAAGTCGAGCACTCGTCATCAATTGTCATTTACTTCCTTATATGCCAATTGTCCTTTAAAAATAATTTATATAGAGAGAGAGATATGAAACAAGAAATAAGAAAAATGACAAAGGAAAATAAGAGAAGGATAATGAACAGAAGCCAGGTTTAGAGTCACTTCACAGTATATACATTATAAGGTTCTCAGGTCCAGTTTCCTCATTTGAAACCTGGAAGTAATACTTTATCTCATGGAGCTATTGTGAGGATGAGATGATAAAAGGAACATAAAACATTTAACATAGTTTCTAGCAAGTGGTAAGCATTCAATAAAGGTTAGCAATTACAATGACGATGTCCCTTAATCTTAATACTATAAATGAAGTTGTGGTTGAGTAAGGACAATTCTATAAAGGGACAGAATCATGAAAATCCAGGCTATCTTTGACTTGAGTCATAAAAAAAAATCATAAAGCGGTGATTTTTCAGTTGTGGGGAGGGGAGGACTGGAAGTAGAATATAGTTTAAATTCAAACTGCAAGCTTGTCCCCCCACCTTCCCTACTGGGCTAAGAATCACTGCCATAGTGAATTGAAGATGGGGTTGTGCCAGTCCTTAGGTGTGTTTGGGCAGATGAAAGGATGAGAAACACTGATCTAGAGAATAAATAGACCATAAATCCTCGGCATTCCTCTGTGGACTTGATTTTTCACTACTGAATTTTAAATAATGGAATACAAACGAGAACTGGAGTGTTGATATTAGGATTCTGGAACATAACTGGGACATTGTCCCTGAATTGAAGAGCACTCAACTTCCAAGCAGGACCACACTTTTCCCCAGAAAACAGTTCTGGTAAAATGCATTTTTTTATGCCTCTGTTAATAAATAATAAAAGCAACATGTAGAAAATTGAAGAATGAAAGTTCTCTACACTTCAGGAGTTACCAGTCTGTTTAAGACACCTATAAAAGGTCAAAAAGACACTTATAAAAGGTGAAATGTTATATAACTTAACTTTCTAAGACAGCTTGACGTAAATGTGCTCCGTAGCTGAATGTGTAGTTGAGTAGAGGAACATTAGAGCAGTGATTATATGGACACCTCAAAAAATGAAAAGTCTTTACAGATAAAAGTGATAAATAAAGCCTCAAGAGGTTCATGGGTGAATGGCTTAAAAACCTCCTCTGGCCACCCCTGGCTATAAAGAAAAGCATTGTATGGTGGTGGTGAGGTGGTGGACAAGTGCGGACAGTGAGTCTTTATTATGAAACTAAAAAAAAAAAATATTAAACCTAAAAACTTTAACAGCTTAGGTCAAATTTTTCAAAATACATCAAGATCACAGTGGTGTTTGATGGGTCCAAAGACTCCTAAGATGTGTCTGTGATAGAATTGAGTAGATCTGTGATACCTGTATTAAAATATAATCAGTTTTCTTTGTAATCCTGTTTAGTGTATGTTTTTAAAAATGGGTCTTTGGGCTTCACAAGCCTGTCGGGGGTCTGTGGGCACAAAAAAGATTAAAAGCCCCTGCGGAAAGTATCCTGTTCACTTACACTTTAAAATCCCAGTACTGTACTAATTATTCTTCTAGGTCAGAGAGAGTAGGTAAGACAGTATTTACATTCCATGACCATAGAAGCACCACAAATAAGGAAAAGTTATTTATGTTGAAGTCTCCATATCTCTGTGTTTTGTTATTTGCTGAGAAAGCTTGAGAAGCTTCCCACATGTTAATCATTATATCTTCTTGGAATTGAACCTTTGGCCACAAAGAAATTAAGTTGTATATAAAGTCATAGACCTTAGTTAACTGATTACCAATTAAATTCTGCAGATCATTCTGTTAGATAGTCTGAGATTCCAGTCTGAGCTTTCTCCTTGAAGACTTGCTTGAAATAAAAAAAGTGCTTCTAGCAGATTCATAGCAAAACACAGAAGGCTCTTATATGATTTGTAGCACTCATCTCCTTTGCCTCTCTCAACTCTTATGTAATATTTTTTCTTCATTCCACCAGAATATATCAGTTGAGATGTGGGAGACAAAAAGTCAAAATCCTGAATTTAACCAAGTGAGATTTTGAAACACACCAATGTACTTACTGAATAAAACCTTAAAATTAGACTCAAATATAAATTCATCCTTTTTAAAAAATATTCATGAAAAATGGGTCTGAATTAATCTTTCAGTCTCCAGACACTCTGGGACCACTACAATCATTCTCCTCTAAGCCATACTTCCAAGGCCGGAGATAGAAAACTATTTTTCCATTAATATCAAAATATTACAGTCAATATTCTTTTCTTTGTTTTCCCTATCAGGACAACTCAACTACCTCGGATCAAGCCACCAAATATGGCATATCCTTGCAGTAGTGATGTTGTATTGGTGGCATCAGTCAACTGTGTATGTCATGCAGTACAGACATACCAAGCCTTGTCCTGACTATGTGTGACATTTGTGAATTCAGGTATGGCCATCTGGTGTATTCAGTTGTGAAGCAATATTTTGATGGGGAGTTGTGTACCCCACTAATTCTAAGATTCTTGCTGTTGTTTTTTCTTTTCCTCATTTAATGTATCATGAGTAATATTTTATAAAAATGGAAAAATGCATTTGGGGGTCTGTAATAACTGTTTTACAGGCCCTTAAAACTACTCATTTGCTGCTTGTACAGAAAATGAAAATTAGTTGGCATTCATAAGAAACATTCGAATAATAGCAATGAATGTTAAACCATTGTAGAGATAGGATTCATTTTACTTAACACCAGCTTAATTTCCTTAGGAAGGGCTTATCTCCATTAGGAAATGGAGTCATCCTGTCAGACTACTTTAATGGAAGAATTTTTTAGTAGATGATCAAGTGTAAGTGCCTGATCAAGGCAAGGGATGCCACAAGCTATGATTGTGATTTTTGAATAATCACTAGCCTTTAAATACATGCTTTGTGAGAAACTGGCACTTAGGTATAATTTTCTTTAGCTGTAGATTCTCCCTTCTCTAGGAACATTGGATTTTTTAGTTTGCCAGAACAGAAATTTTAAACTTCTACTCCTTTTAGTTAAGAGAGGTGTTGAGAAGAACTTTGTCGTTTTCTATCAGATAAGAATCACATTAGAAACTGATTACATGATTAGGTGACAAATTTTGTGGTCTAATAACCAAGTTATTAGCCATCTAGGCTTTTTAATTCCTTATCTAGACACTGAATTCTTGTAAGTGGATTGCAGATTTTTTGGTTCCAAAAATTCCCATAGCATAAGAGCTTTCACCTCTCTGAATTTGCAGTCCTAAATTTTGTGGGTATATGGGTGCTACTTTCAAGGCCATAGGATCCAGATGGCCCAGTCTTGACGCTGAAATGAACCTTAAGCCTTAGAACAAAGTCATGCAGATGCCCCATCTGGTAAATGTGCTTATTCACTTGGGCTCCAGTCTTCCTCTGTTTACGCATGTATTAGCATTGCATCAATAACTCATAAAGTATTGATATACTAGCTAATATCTGGAACCTGACATACAACATTTGGTCTTATATATATCGCTGCCCTGTCATACAACGTACCCCTCTTTTTCTTTGATCTTTTCGTATGCATTAATGAAGTCCTTTAAAGCAGAAGTCCGTAACAAACTTACGTTGTTCGTTGGAATATAAAATATTACCCAAGTTTCTTAATGAGTTCACATAAGCTATTTTAATTACTCGTGTATTTTCAGAACATTAGCATTACTAAATTTCAGAAAAAGTGTTGACTGATGGTAAAGCTTATGCCCAAAATGCCTTTCATGTCTCTTGATAGGAAAGTTACTTCATCGTGCTTCAGTTTATGCATCTGTAAGATTTTGTATTTTTCAGTGTAGTGTTTTTGGAATATAATTCCCCAGGCTAGTATCTCAGCAGGGAGAATTTCCCCCCCGTAGGCTCAACAAGGGCGCACTGTGTTGTGCCCTTTACTATGATGGAATGCTACTTTGAAAATGGCTATTTTACTTCATAAGGCCACACATTTGATCCATGTGCTAAATGATAATAGATTTTGGTTTAACAGTAATAGGCTGTATTTCCTCTAAAACAACCCTCGTTGGCTTATATATTATTGCTTTTAAATAGATATTTTGCCATATTGGCCAAATAAAAAACACTGAGTATAGTTATTTTTAAAATAAGGGAAAAGTCCACTACTTTTAGGTCTGGAACCTTTTTTTTATTGTAAAGTCTTCTCAGAATAAAAATATATGAACATTGTTTCATTCTCTTTTAATTTTTAGAAATATTCTTTTTCTTCTTATAGGGTATTAATTAATTCTTGCCATCTGAATTGATAAAAAACATACTGTATTTTTTATTTTAAGAATGTTTCTTTGAATTTCAAAGGCATACAGGTCTGACTGTAGGAGAGTTACACTGTGTAATTATTTCAACATTTTATGAAAATGTTAAATACTGTAAGAAAGCTATGCTCTCTCATTTTTATCTTTACTGTTATATATTTATTATAAAGTAGGGAATGAATGAATGTGGATTGCTGTCAACTATAAAAACTTCTGTAAGTCAGCATTTATTGACCACCTACTGTGTGCAGAGCACTACTGGCAAAAATTTTAAGACATTGTTAACATTAAAGAATAACTATTTAAAATCTGCCTACAAATCTGAGCCTTGTAATAATGTATATTTAAGTTAGTTTTGTTTTTATAGATTTGTTATTAAAACAAGATTAAAAGTACACTGTTCGGCTACAGCATTAAAAGACTGGTTTGAATTTGACCAATGTGTAAACTATAAAAGCTCTTTACTTACAGATTTTAAAAGTACATTTTAAAATTATTCATGGCTGTTTTAAATTGTCTATAGTGATTTATAGGGTTGTAGTTAAATCATTTAAGAAACAATTATCTTTCTATATAAAACCATTTTCAGATAGCAAGACTGTGCTTGTCTTTTTTATTATACTGAGTGCAATTCAGTATGCTGCATGGCAAAATATGTATTATGTAAATAAACTGGGTTTACTAAATAATATTAAGTGCTACTTGTCATTCTTTATAATCTATAACAGCTTTAAAATCATATTTTAGAATCATGAATGAAGATTCAGGGAATATCTGTCACATCTTATGGCATCCCACCTGGACAAAGTAACTGATTTGAAGACTGTGACTGACTGGCATAAAGCTGTATACCTCTCCATTTGGCAGGTACCTATCTGAGATAGATATACTTTGCCCTACATTAAATGTCAAGGGGCAAAGCCTGTACTTCCATATTCCTGCCAGTTGCTGAGCTGAGTAGATCCATGTCCACCCTAAATCATCATTCCTGATAATTCTACCCCTGCCAGAGTGTGTCTGGTACAAACAGAAATGAAGAATCAGCTCAAACGTTAGGGGAGAGGCAGATGAAATATCACATCAATTGTGTTGATACCGAAAGAGGTATAGATGCTATTAAGCACCAAGGTCCCCTGAAATGCTGCAGATGATCCAGAGCTGAAACCACCTTTAGGACACATTTTCAGAAGGGAGAGGAAAATATCAGCAGTAGGGGTCTCTTGTGAAAAGTGAAACTTCCGTCCTTAGAGGGCTGAAATGAACAGCCACTGAGGTTCTAGGCCTACTCTGTAAACCTGGGATTAAAAACATTACATAATACACCTGTAATTCAATAGTGCCTACCACCATAAAGCAAAATTGACCTTTTGAAATGTGCAACAAGAAGTAAAACTTCAAAAGCTTATGCCTGCAGTTATTAACCACATGCTATACATGATGCTTGAGCTGGATTGCCTTAAAAGGATTAGCTATTCAAAATAAATAGCTATACATTGCAGCATATATTCTTCTCTAAAGAAGTTAACTATAACTGATTTTGAACACTGATACATTCCAGTTTTATATAAATTTGTGAAATTTATTCTCAGATTAGAAATCAACAATTTAATCATTTGTGGTATTATGCTGCTTTGTACCATTCATTAAAAAGATACATAGCCCTTATTTTTCCACATAACTTTTACATAGCTGTTACTACTTCAAAAAGTATGTTCATTTGTAACAGACAAGATGGGTCTCTCCACAAGCCACAAATCTAAAAATCTAGTTTGTTTCAATCTGATAAATAGGTTTTCTCTTTAACATGTCAGTCTTTTCTGATCAAGAATTAAAACATTTTAAGTTACCAGTTTTTAAAAGTTTCAAAATAAATAATATATAATGCAAATCCTTCCCCCCCCCAAAAAAAAACCCCACTGCTGCCAAGTTGATCCCAACTCATAGTGACCCTATAGGACAGAGTAGAACTGCCCCATAAGGTTTCCAAGGCTGTAATCTTTCTTTAAGGCAGCAGACTGCTGCATCTTTCTCCTGCGGAGCAGCTGGTGGGTTCTAACGACCGAATTTCTGGTTAGTCGAGCACTTAACCGCGGCACCACCGGGGCTCCTTTTATAATGCAAAACTCTGCCAAACAATGTATTCAAAAGTCTAATGTGTCAGTAATAACTGCAGTGACTAAACACAGTTGTGCCATTTTCGTTGCAAAAAATTTAAGTAGATTTTCTTACTTACATTCTGAACTGTGAGCTCCTTAAGAACAGGGATCTAATCTTACTCATTTTTCTATTCTACTAGTTGGTACATAATAGGCACTTAATGTCTGTGGTATGAGTGAAATAACTTTTAATAAGACAATGAAAAACTCTGAAGTCACTGATTATAAAGAATATGCAATCTGTTCGGGATTTATTGCATTTAAAGAAAGCAGATTATTAAAACAGTAGGTATGATAAATATAGTAAGAAAATAAATCTCAAACAAAACAAAATGAATGAGGGAAAGAATACAGTCAATAAGAATAAGCAATGTAAAGGCAATAAAGTAGAAAAATCAGTTAGTGCTTAATTAAACAGAAAAACAAAGCAACTGGTTCTATCTCATAAAATTTTCCCAGCTACATTTGAAAACTGAAGTCACTTTAGCATGTATGTTTTGTAACAATTAGAAATATAATAAAAGATGTAAATCAGGTTTATTTAAAAGTTAGTTATTTGCTTAGTGTACATAAAAGGTTTCAGAAAATTCAAGTTTAACAAAAAATGGAAGTGTAATCAAAGAAAGTGCACTTAAAGCTGTTTGCCAGCAATTAAAAAGTAGCTTCTATACTGTTTACTATTAAATGACTTTTCAGTCACAAAAAGAGCATAGTAATAAAAGCAATTCTTTCCAAAGTAACACTATAAATTTAAAAATAAAAATAATCCCAACTGATGACCTTTGCTTTTTTCATCTGTCTACCTTATTCTTTTAGTGGCTTTTGTAAACCCTTATTAGGAGTGAATGTTCTTTAAGATATGATTGTGGTTGCAATTGCATTAAAAAAAATTCACATTAACTCCACAGTAGAGATATGTGACATGTGCATGCATGTGTATATATATATATATATATATATATATATTTATATTAATCTTAATACATAAAATACCACTGAGTATAAAAGTTTTCAAATAAACTATCATTTATGTTATTCTCACAGTAGATACGTCATCTCGTTCTCACAGTAGATCTGTCATATCAATAATTGGATTTAAAATGATGAGTATTTTTGCTAAAAAGAAAAACATGAAGAAGTTCACTGCAGAGTCTACATACAACAAATGTACCCAAACTCCCCAGAACTAGTGATATACACTTGTACCTTCTAACGGTGCTTATGTGAAGTACCAAAACCTAAAATAAATCAAGCACAATAGCTGAATAGTAAGAAAATAGCTGTCTATGAACATCAGAGTAAAACAGTGGGCTCCACCTTAGCACTTTCCACCAGCAAGATGAAAACAACCATCTATCACTGTTAAACAATAAACCAGGTAAGATCTAAAGGTGCATCTATCTCCAAGTCCAGATAATGTCATAATTATGCCCAAATACACACAGGGACATTGGTGGGGGGGAGGATTGTCATCCAGCCTACAACCTTTCCTCCTCACCTAATATATATATACCAAGCAACTTTTGTGTCTTACCAAACACATTCTTTAATGCCATAAAAGCTGATCTTTTTAATATAACATTTTATTCAAATGATATTAAAATTATTACACAAATGGTCCACTTTTAAAAAGATGATTCAAAATCAATAAGCAATATTATTAAAGCTGTTAGGAAAGAAAGAACTTTGGCCACAGATTTTTGCTAGCTTCATAATACTTTGCCTCCCTTAGTAATGTTCAAGTATAATAGGTTTAGCATTAAGATGACTTTATATCCTGAAGCAGCACAGAGGGACATCCAAATAATAATATGAACATAATTTTTTTTTTCAACTTTCCTTCCTTAATCCAGTGTTGGACCATCCCATAATAGAGCTGACAGAATAGTGCTAACTGGGTGGCAGGTGCTCTGTTAAGTACCTTTACATGCTTTGGGCATCTGCTGTGCGGAGTTAACCTACACTTCCACTACGGCAGAGGGGAGAGATGATTGAAAATGAAAAGCAACCCTAAAAATCTATACTCCTTGGGAAAATGCCTCTACTGCAAAACAAAGGAATCTCCCCAAATTTATTCTGAATCCTAAATCTTTTTCCTGAACTACAATCTCAAAAGAGGAAAGTTACTGGGCTGTACTACACTAAACATAAGAATGTAAATATTTTAAGCTAAGTCAGACTGCTTTCTCATAATTTATACCACATTATAAGCCAAAGTGTCCACATCAATTTAAAATGATTCAATGTATGGAAAAGCTAGTGTAAGCAAGGTGTTAACATCAGATAGACTCTAGGTATTTCCTGGTGATGTGCCAAGAAGTCCACACCAGTTCATCCCCCACCCTTTCCAGAGACCAAGGCCAAGGACTAAAATAATCAAAGAAGCATAATGTTTACATGTCAACAACAGATTTTCATTTTAAAAAAGTACTGTTTGATACAAACCTACTGTAGTTCATGGAATCATCAACTCTTTACTTTTTAAAGAAAGTATCTTAAATCTACTTTGTAAAGTTTTAAAGAACATCTACTTGAGCATTTGTGTTAACAGTATTAATTAACCTGAGAGTCAGGAAAAAAGGTGCAAACGTAATATTTGCCTTTGGCACAAGGACAAGTAATTGAAAAAGATCTATCCAAGTAGAACAGTCTCCTGTAGTCCAACTCTAAAAGTACAATTCTAAGTAGTAACGTTAACGCTTGCTCTGCCTTTGCTACACTGTGATTCACCTATTACTTTCCTATCTGTCCAAAAATTTGTATCTGATTTAGGTAAAAGATGAATATACAGTTGTTACATATATTTGCTTCTCTCCAACTTCAGAACTGTGAAAACAGGCAAACAGCTTATCAGGAGCACTATAATTAAGGGACTCTAATACGAGTACTCATAAAATACACTAATTGGGTTCAAAGAGAATTAAAATATAGCAATCAAAGAGAATGTTGGTTCATAAGAGTCTCTGTCCCTATATGTAAATAAGCTTAACAGAAGCTTCTAAATGTTAATTTGATAGGGAAAGATAGTTAATTATAACTTAAAATAGTTGGAGACATAGGAAGCACAGATGATTGTATTAATGTTCATTCACATACATAATTTCTAGAAAATCTCAAGTATCGAATTAGGATTTGTGGTGTAAAGAAAGGCAATTTGGTAGCTGGGTTCTTTTCACTAAAGACACAATCAACTAGCAGAGCTAAGATGCTAGTCCCTCCCCATCTACTACTTTATGTCCATTTTGAGATCTTGTGCATTAGTGCAGAGAGGTACTTGCAGCAGGATGCACGAGTCCTGCCTATAAGGCTTTGTGGGTTTCACTGTTCAGTGCATTTTATTAAAAGTACTCCACCCTCTACACCTAACTAAAATAATTGTCGTTCACAACTTCGGGAATATTTGGTGAAGGTGGTGATTTAATAAAGTACATTATTAAATGCAACATGATTTTACATTGTAAACTTCTTAAAAACTCAGGATTTCAGCTACATTTTTTCCTGAAATAAAATTTCTATATAACCCTTGTCCTCACTCCCAGCTTTTTAAAATAATCTGCTTTCTTAGGGCCATGATAATGAAAGTTTGGGGCAAGCAAGCCATTCACAAACACAAGATGAAGTTTTTTCTCTTCCCTTTTTTTATCAAACATCAGAATTTATCTTTAGTTTTTGTTCAAGGCTTCTACGTAGATATTCCATATTAATGGCACTTTTATTATTATTATGTTAATGAAACAGAGTTTTAGGCACAACAGTCAATTACTTCTGGCTCTGCTTGGTAGAGAAAGGTGTAAGGACTAAAATCTCTGAACTCCCCAGATGAGAACTAGATTGTTTTTTACTCGGTGGAAATTAGAAGAGACTTCTAAAAAATTCACAAACTCAACCTGTGTATGTACAAAATAACCTTAGTTTTAAATGCTGGATTCTGGAATGAGCCTGGGATATGCACACAAAAATGACATTCTGTTATCAAAAATAGCAGTAGGGCTTTGCAATCCTTTCTGAAGTGGCTACGTGTAACTGAAAAGGTTCCACGTGCTTTCACTGAAGCATCACACGTGTGTTTCTGTGCTGGCATGTCAGTAGCTGAAACCCTTTATTAGAGCTTGCAATGTAGCTCCCTTTTCTCCCGCTTGGAAGAAGTCCTTTTAAGAGGCATCAAGTTACTACCCTGTGGAAATACTTCCTTTTTCTATTTGGTTTTTTTTTTTTTTTTTTAAATCACTTACCTATTCTGATTGACCTATAAGAATGAAAGCTATAAAGAGCTATACAAATAATTTTCTTTCAGATTCATAAAATGAACTATTCACACTTTTTTGAAACAGGAGTTAATGCCAAGAATCCATCAGAAGTATCTACTGTTTAGAAGGAAATGGAGCAGCACCAAATGGGTCTAATTCGACTGATTGGGACTGTTGGGACTGATGTGAAGTGATGCTTTGCACCACAAGTTCTGTAAAGGGCACGGCACCAAAATCATCTATTTTCAAAGCATCTGCACTATGGAATGACCCATGTAGTGAATTCTGCCTTGGCCGCCCAGGCAGTACGGTATTGTGGTCGGCACGGATGTCGCTCAGACCCGTATGTGAAGGGTGTCGTGTCACGTCTGGAGGATGGAAGGGCTTGGCACCAAAGGGGTCCAACAGGCTCTCCTCAGGTTGCAGGATATTCCCTCTGTCTTTCCCGTCCGTCAGTGCAACACTAATGTTCTCCTTGGAGTCTGAGATTGTTAAAAATTCATTGCTGCTTTGAGAGTCTCGGCGGCCCACTTTTTTGTGCCGGCGAGCTCTCTCTGGGGTGCGGAAGGTAGGCTTCAAAGTCTTCTTTGTGCTGGTTGGTGTGCCGTGATGCCGCTTCCCATTGCTTTTTGACATGTCCTGCTTTGTGCGCCTTTGGCGAGAGGACAGTTTCTGTAAGCTGCGTTGTTTGACTTTTTGCTGCTGACTTCCAGTTATTTCCTCAAAAGGCACAAGCCCAAAAATGTCCTCATTGCTTTCACTTTTACTTACTGGTGTGGGAAAGGGCTGAAATGGAGTGGAGCCAAACACATCTACACTTATGGGACAACCAGGGAGAGTATGTGCTTTAGGCCCCACCTTTAGGCAGTCTTGTACATTCACCTTCTTGCTGAAGGGTGCCTTTGTGAATACATCAAATTCTTCTTGCTCTAGTCCCACAGGAGGAAAATGGGTCTGTTGAGAGAGGTTCTTTTCATTCTCTCCTTGCTGGGGCTGTTGAGCACGCATGGCAAAGAAGGGGACAGCGCCAAACACATCAAACTCCTGTTTGGGAGTCTCCACCCCAGCATCAGAAGGTATTTGGGTTGGGGTGAGGAGTGTTATATTGGGATCTTGGATTTGTCCACTGCCAGATTTGTCTCTGTAGACAGGGCTCATGTCACTGTACTTTGCTTTGGCCTGCTCATAATCAGAATCAGAACTATGTTTTTCTTCTTCTTCCTCATCTTCAGAATCCATGAGAAGAGGCCTATGACCCAGATTTTCAGGTTCAGTATCATCATCATTAAAATCTCCTTGTTCTCCCTGAAGAACTTCGTCATCCTCTTGCTCTTCTTCTTCACTGCTCTTAGGAGAAGGGGAATCTGATTCGAAATCACTTTCAGATTCATCAGTCCCCTTTTGTACTTGACCTCGTACTGATGAATTCTCTGAAGTTTTCTTTTCTGTCCAGTTATCTTTAGATACTGGACTTAATTTTCCATTCTTGATAGAGTCTGCAGTGCTGTTTTCTTGATGCCTGGATGAATTTTCCACTTTCTTTTCAGGAGAACCTGTAAGTTCAAAGAAAAAGTATTATAGCATTCCAATGCATTTCAAAAACCATTGTAACTACAATGTTACTACATTAATATATACTAACACAAGGCCTTACATATCCCTTAGAACAGTACTCTTAGAGGGAAAAACACTGTTGTCAATTCTTTGTCATTAGGCTTGGGTGATACACTTGTCCTCAACTAGATGGTTAGGTTCTTTCATGCAGAAAAGACTAACTCATCTCTGTCCCCTACACAGTGCTTACTCAACATAGGCTCTCATTTATAGCTAAATTTTATTTACAGCACCCAGACTAACAGACTTTAAAAACCAAAAAAAAAAAAAAAATCCAAATCCACTGCCATCAAGTTGATTCCGACTCATAGCGACCCTATACTAGGACTCTGAATATAGTAGGCAAGCAAATTTTCTTCTCCCCACCATCAAAATAAGATCATTCAGCTAATTCACCGTTCAGATCCCACATTCACCAAACAACTTTCTGCTTATATTTCAAGTCTATGACTTTTCCCACAGAGATCAACAACCATGAGTAGCTTGTCTGTTTAGTTACATGCTTCACTGTAATTTTTTTAATCAATCATTCTGTTTTTTTTATAACCAGTGTCTTATGAGTTTGGTTAACATGAGTATATCTCCCACAGCCTAATCAAAGCTAAAAACCAGTACTTAACTGAGACTGTACTGAGAACATCTGCCTTCTCTAGAGACTTTTCTTTCACTAATAGCCCCTTAAATATCTATGTTCACCAGGGTTCTAGCCTTGGTTGTCTTTCTCCAACATCTTAACAAGTTAAGATGTTAACTGCCAGGTACATCATAATGACTCTAATCTCGTTAACGGAGAACTTACTCCCGAGTTCCAGACTCAGATCTTTAATAGTTACCATACAGTTCTTCATGAAAATGTATCCTACCATTACCTCAAGCAGTAATTTAAAGAGATCATTTTTCCTCTTAAGGCATGTTCCTTACCAGTTTCCCCTATATTAGTGAACAACATCTCCATCTACCCAGTTTTTCAAACCAGCAAAAATGTGGAAACCGTCTTCCCTCTTCCCACCAGTTACGATGTCCTTAATATCTCTTGAATCTGCTACCTCTTCTCCATCTGCCAGTTGTCTCTCACATTCCTTCATTATCTCTCACCTAGCAGCTCCTCAGCCTCTAAACTCACCTCTGCCTCCAGTCCCACATCATTCAAACTGCTCCTCTCACTGTCAACAAAATTATTTTTCTGAAATACTAATCATGCTGCTAGGTAGGTTTAAAACCTTTCAGTGGCTCTCAATTCCAAACCCTTAGCGTGGCACAGAGCACTCTTGTCTATCTGCCCTACCATATCTTCAGCCTCAGACCCCAAAGTGTCCCATGCATATTCTTCATCACAGCCCCACCCAAACTCTCCCTAGTCAAACTTAGGAACAGAATACATTCGGTAAGTTTTTTGAGCTATCCCTTGTCACCCATCCTATTAATATTTGGTATCAGAAACACAGGAACTTAATAGATTTGGGTATCAAGGGAAACTCTGCTCCTTTAACATCTCTCTACTATTGCAATACTGAACCTCAGTATGAATGCCCTACCACTGCCACTCCCACCTGACTGCATAGTAAACATGGCCCATGTCATGGTCCTTCACAGCCACCCCTTAAAAGGGACCCATTCTGTATATGGTGTTCCCAACGAGCCTATTACAAACCTTTATTGTAGTACCTACTGTACTGTACTGCAATTACTGTCTGTCTGCCCTATTTGAGGCCATGATAAGGAATATGAGCTCTCAGAACACAGAAATATTTATCACTTATCTTGTTTATCATTCATCTCTGTACCTTAGCATTATGCTGAATCAGTATTTGTTCACTGAATCAATAAAGTTACTACTCTGAGCTAACCTAACCTGCTACATGTTCCATATAATCAGAATACAACAAAGGAAGTTACAGAGCAAAATAAACCTCTTACATTTAGAAATGTTTTAGCTCAGAATTTAAATAATTCACATTTTATTTCACTCCAAAAAAAACTATCCCACAGGGCACTTTACTACATGCTGTATACACGGATTGGTGAACAAAACAAATATGGTCCCTGCCTTCAGGAGTTCACAGTCAAGTGTGGGAGACAGAGAGTAAATAAGTAAACACGACTGGGGCCAGTGCTCTGAAATGAAAAACAGAGAGTGATGATGAAAGTCACGGGGAAGAGGTTTGGGGTGCACCAAACTGCTCAGGATAGTCGGTGAAGGCCTCCTTTAGGAGATGATGGCTAAGACTGAACAACAAGGAAGAGCCAGCCACGCAAAGGACAGGCAGAAGACTGCTCCAAGTCAAAGCAGCAGCGTGTATGAAGGCCAATTCAAAACAGAGATTGGCATATTTGAGGGACTGAAAATAGTCCAGTGTGGCTGGAGCACAGTGAGCAAGGGGGATGCTGGTACAAGAAAGGACTAGATCATGAAGGTCCCTTTGAGGCCATGATAAGGAGTATGGGTTTCATCCTAAATTGTATGTAGTGGAAAGCCATTAAAAAAGATTTTAAAATGGATGTCATGAAGAGAATTATATTTCAAAAAGATGACTGACTGTAGAAAAAAGACCAAAAGGGGAAGGGGCAAAAATGAGGAGACCAGGGAAGAAGAATTTGTAGTAATTCAAGTTAGAGATGACAGTGGCCTGGATGAGGATGGTTGGTGGTAGTGGAGACAGAATTAAAGATTGCAGAGAAAAACTCTCGATGATGATGGTATCATTAACACAGAAAAGATTAAGTTGGGAAATGGAGAAGGTTATCAAGTATTCGGTTTGGGGCACATTAAGCTTGAGGTATCTGAGACATTTAAGTGTAAGTGGTTAGATACCCGTGGCTTGAGCTCAATGGATAGTTTTTGGCTGAAGATAATAAAGTTGGGAGTTATCACCATGCAGAGGGTATGTAGAGAGTACCACGAGACTTGGAGATCACCTAAGGAGAGAGTAAGAGGGTCCAGGTCTGAGCCCTCATGTGTAAAAAACATATAGAAATCAGCAGAGGAAGAGGAATCTGCAAAGCAAAATATAAAATTCTGGCCAGTGAGGAGGCCCAGATTCAAGCGTGTGCAATGTCACAGAAGCCAGAGAAATGAGTGAGTCCTGGGGGATGTACAAGACAACTGAGCTGGATGGTGCAAAGAGGTCCAGTGAACTGAGGACAGAAAATGACGACTGTATCTGGTCATCATATGCAGCTGGCAACTTTAGGATGAGTAGTGGGAAGTCTAGTGGCACAAAGCAGTGAGTGGGAGAGATGAAAGAGGAGAATGTAGTCAGATTATACTTAAATACAAATATAATCTTCATCCATTATTCATTTACCAGCTCCTTAAAACCAGCCAAGAGTTATATGCTGTATCTATATAAAATTTATAATAGTCATCCTCTGTATCCACAGATACCAAAATCCATGGATGCTCAAGTCCCTTACATAAAATGGTGTAGTATTTGCATATAACCTATGCACATCCTCCCGTATACTTCAAATCATCTCTAGATTACTTATAATACCTAATACAATGTTAATAGTTGATTCATCACAATAGAAGACTTGCTCTGAAAGGTAGCCTTTCTCTTCTATGAGTTTCTTGAGCTCTTCTGGGAATGCTGATACTGCCTGGGCATCAGCCAATGCAGATTCTCTCATGATCTTGAAGTTCTTAAGGCTGTAGCACTTTACACAGCTAGCCAGCCATCCCTTACAAGCCTGAAACTCCTTCCTCTCGCTCTCCTCAAACTTCATTGCTTTTTAGGAGCCTTTTTTTCACAGAAACGGTACACACAACTCAAGTAGCAAACTAACAAGACTCAAGGCAAACAATGCTCAAACAAGTGTTGGAGAGAGACTAAGGATCTGTGAAATGGTGGGAGGCTACAGCAGGGGATGCCTACACATCACTTAATTCGCATGCATTCAGCGTAGTGCTCTGCACGGCAAATTCAAATTTTGCCTTTTGGTTCTTTTTCAATTCCAAATATTTTTGATCAGCAGTTGGTTGAATCCGTGGATGTGGAACCCACAGATACAGAGGGCTGACTGTAGGCTTATTTTAAAGCCTAACAGATTATAACCAAATCAAATGCAGACTCTCAAGTTTGACTTCTCCATAGACAACATACTTCTGAGATTAAAAAGACTGCTTTTAGACTAACCTTAGAATTTATTGTCACAAATTTTTATTCTAAAGCAAAAAATGTAATGGTTCCAGAAGACTTCTAATCATCCCTCATTCTGGTACACATCCTCTAAGATACATTTTAACTTATTACCTCCTAGAGCTACCTACCCACAGAAAACCATGATGTGCAGGTCACCCTTCAAGCCTGCTTGTGGATGCCTCCAGTAACATTCCAATATGTTTCTTAAAGTGCGTCCTGCAGAACACTATTACCACAAATAAAAAGAACCAAACCGAACAGTTCTGCGGACTCAGGCAACTGAATTTATGAAATGCTGCATTCTGTATTCTGCCTTCTACTAGAAAATGCTCATTAAAGGTGCTGATGAGTCCTATACAAAAGAACCTATTTAATTTTATGAAACCTAGATTTCTCAATATGCAATAAACAATATGCAAAAAGTACGTCCAGAAAATGCTGCTCTACAACTCTATGAGAAAACTCCTGTTTCTGGGGTACTTGGTTTTACTCCTAAGAAGGTCTTCTGGAACACGTAACATAGGACAGATATTCCCTCTTGGAAAGAAACCTTCAATTCCCACTCAAAGACTGCATCCTTTTGCAATTCACCTTCTTTTGTTAATCTCGAATTTTCATCCCAGTCTCTTACTTTCCAGATGATGTCTGTCACTTTCCACTTCTCATCCTATCTGCCCTTTGTCAGCTTCTCAAAGTTACATTAACAGATCCATTAACAGATCTATTTTTTACTGTCAGCATGAATATAAATATGTGGGTTTTTTTTTTCCACTTACCATTTTTAGTGCATCTTTCCA